CTGACTACGGATCAGAAGATTGTAGGTTCGACTCCTGCCTGGCTCGGACTGACTTTTTTTTTTTTCCCCCCCACCGCCTTTTGCTGATTTAAGTCCTTGCTTCAGGCCTTGGGGCTGCGCTGCTCATGTCCTGCCCGGTGCCTGCCCCCAGGCTCCCCGGAGGGGCCGGATCCAGCTTTTCCGGTATGCACGGGCCGCACCCGGGGAGGCCCCTGCAGCTGCCGAAATGCGGCCCTGCCTGGGAGCAGTGATAATAAAATCGTGATAACACACAGAGAAACCACGGGCGAGATGGCAAAGAAAAGCTAGGAAGGTGTGCTATAAATTATCAACCCCGGGACACACGGGAACCCAAGCAACAACGATGCACTGCCCTGATTCAGCTGCAATCGGTTATTATTATTTTTAGATTCATCGAGAAGTTGGGCTGGAGGGAACCTCAAGAAGCCATCTAGTCCAAGCCCTTATTATTTTCATCGCTACCACCACCTTATTATTAGTATTGTCCTCCTCATCATCACCCTCATAATTATTATCCTCGTTAGTATCATTATTATTGTACAAGTTACTTTGTAAAAAGGAGCAAAAATAGTTGCTTGGCCTAGATCTACCTCGATGAATGTGTGTTAATTTGTGCCCTGACTTAACTCTTTGTTCTGGCCCTTCAGCCTTAATTAAACAGAGCAATAATGAGATAATTAAACAGGAGCGATAACACCCACAGAAGTGTACTCCCAAGATAGGATAAAGCCCCTTTCCTGAAACTCAAACATTACATTTAAAGAATATGAGAGCGTTTTATAATGTTATTGCTACAAAACTGGAACTTTAGTTTCTCATGTCACTATCTGATCTTTATCAGGAGATGCTATGAAAATCACTGCACGCCGCTATCAGAAAAAGAGGATGTAGGTCTAATTAGAAGGATTTTGCAAAACCTTCAGTACTTTAGGGTACATACAGTGTGTTCAATATTTATATACTATTGCTATAGCTGTTGTATAGCTGCTGGGCATGTCTACATAGTCATTAATGTGCCATAATTACAGCACATTACATTTAGTACCTGTAATAAGAGATACTGATTTAATATACCATAATTGGTGCTACTGCGCATTAGCACAGATGAACATTTTTTGTGTAATGTTGAATGTGCATTGGATTAAATCTACTGAGCGCTAGCACAGTTTTTGCCAGCTGCACTGTTGCACAGCAGAATTAGTCCAAAGTGCATTAAGCATCTCAGGTAGACATGCCCATTGCATATATTATACCACAGTATACCATGAATGCCACATGCGGGGGGGAGGGCACGGCAACTGCCGGCAGACAGGGGCAGGGGCGTGGTGGCGGTGAGCAGGGAGCTCCCAGCTGCGGCAGTGCTGGCGGTGGGCGCAGGCCGAATGGGGAGCTCTCACAGGTGACCACACCACTGTCAGCAGTGGGGGTGGTGAGTGCCGACTGGTGGTTGGCAACCACGTGCAGAATCCACCTGCAGCCTTGGCAGCAGCCAGCGAGAATCAGGGACCACCCGCAGACACCACCAAGCGGAGTGGGGTGGCAAGCAGCAACCACCCACAGGCACCACCAGGAGCATTGGCACTTTTTGCAGGGGGTGCACTGCCAATCTCAGGGGGTGCATGTGCACCCATATGTACCCCCTATGCGTCACCAATGCAGTGTACTATATATAAACTATAATATACTGATATACCTGTGTATATTTACATACACTATGCATCTTATGTAAAGGTCATTTGCAATCAGTGAAGCGAGCATAATAAAAAAAAATGTTAAATGATTTTCAATGGCAAGACCTGGGAATACTCAGCATCTGAAATGTTGCATACTTCAATAAAGCTTTCCCTAAGACAGGGGCGGGCAATTATTTTGGGCAGAGGGCCGCTCACTGAGTTTTGGCAAGCCATCGAGGGCCGCACGACAGGCAGCCGGGGACAGATAAATATTAATTTTCTGAATTTTGGGGATGCCCCATGGGACAGATATAATGACCTGGTCGCCCACGTGCAGCCCACAGGCCACATTTTACCCATCCCTGCCCTAAGATCTGGTTCACAACATACGAACTCTGTCCACCTTAGAACGCAGGAATGGGTATTCTAGTGATTCTCAGCCGGAAGGGTGCAGCACCCTGGGGTGTCTTGAGATCCTTTTGAGGACACCGTGAGGGAGGCAAAACATGGCTCACAACAGAACCTCAGGCTGTGTCCAGATGAGCGCAGATGTTTGGTTCCCTGTGCACAACAAGCAGCGGGACACCTTGTGCTGCTGCTAGTTATCCCCAGGGAATGCCTGTTCCCCTGCCCTCTGGTGGACGACAGTTCACCCCAAGTGGGGTCAGGGAGGCTGAGGCCCAGCAGCCCCAGCAGCTTGACCTTGGGGCCTGGGGGCTTCCCAGAGAAGCTGCAGCTATAATGCTCCTGCAGCTTGGAGCCTGGCCACAGCCGGACCATGGCTCTGGACAGCTGGGCTCCAATTTTCGGCAGCACGTACTACTTCCCTGTGTGCCACCCTGCTTTTCTTCTGCATGGGTTTTTCTGACCCCTGGACCTCCAGGGGTTAAAAACAAAGCTCTGTGCAGCAAGATAGAAGCACGGGAAATGCCTGAATGTGCAGTGTGTGGCATAGCAGATGGGCCCATGGCACCACATGATACCACATGTCCACGTTTGCAGCCTTAGAGATTTTAAAGAGGAAGGGAAGGCCTGGTGTCAGTTGCATGCTGCCCTGTGGGGGTCTTTCTGAGTCCTTTGCAACGGAAGAATTGCTCTCGTATTGATGGTGGGGGCAGTGCCCTGCCCACTCCGTTGCCCCTCACTGGCGACCGAGGCCCAGCCCCGAGGGGGTGGAGCATGATTCACTTCCCACCATGAACAGTTTGGAAATATTCACAGGATGGAAAAGAACCTCACGGGAAGAAAAGTAGACACCCGAGCCAGGCAGGAGTCGAACCTACAATCTTCTGATCCGTAGTCAGACGCGTTATCCATTGCGCCACTGGCCCCAGGCGATGATGAAGCGTCCAGAAAGAGGCAGATATAGATGCTAACGCGCTGAAAAGCCTCCAGCTCCTTTTGCACATGCGCAATCCTGCAGATGTAGGTTCGTGGGGCTCTCTGTTTCAACAAGTCGCAGGTCCCTTCGATAGCTCAGCTGGTAGAGCGGAGGACTGTAGTGGAGGCACGTGCTGACATCCTTAGGTCGCTGGTTCGATTCCGGCTCGAAGGAGACTTCATAGTTTTTTTGCACCCTCTTCCAAGTGTTGCCTTTTGCATTTCAAGTCGCTCCGGCTCTGAATTCAGATGCGGAAAATCCCAGCCCCGCGCAGCGTTGGAGGTTATCAGAAATCGGATCTCTGCAGGGAAGGCCTTTCCCCAGCGCCTCTTGCTGCCGGCAGGAGGCGGGAAAGAAAGGGCCGGGCGGAGCAGCCTGGTCTGGCCCCTCCGGAGCTGGGGGCCCGCGCCGGCCGGCCGCGCCCGCCCCTGGCCCCGCAGCCCGGCAAGGAGCCCCTGGGCAGCCGCTGGCTGACCATGTATATATGGTTCGTGAAGAGCAGGAAGGGCTAGAGCAGCGTCTCTCAACCCGCGGGTTGCGACCCAGAAGTGGGTGGCAACGATATTTCAAAGGGGCTGGGGGTTGGGCATAAACAAGCCAGGGGGCATGGGTCGTGCCAGGGCCGGGCCATGGATCTTTGCAAATGGGGTCCCAGTAGGAAAACGGCTGAGAGCCACGGGGCAAGAGGGTTTGTTTTATTGTTAAGTCTTCTGCTTGAGGTTTAAGTAACCCAGGGTCCAGGGTTGGAGGCAGGGAGGGCCCCATCCCCATGTTACATGGCAGAGTGCCTGCTCAATGCAGCAGAGGCTGGGGGATTCATGCCTGCATTCCCCATGGCACACCTTTCTTTTCTCCCTCCTCCATCACTATTGACCCCCTGGGCGACAGTGACCACTGCCTGCTAGAATTCACCATTCAGCGCAAGGTAGCAAAGGCAAGCAGTCAGGTGGTGGCCCTAGATTTTAGGAGGGCGAACTTCAACGAGCTAAGGAGGATAGTTGGAGAAGCGCTGAAGACTCAGAGGGGAGGGGAGCCGGGTGTCCAAGGGGAGTGGTCGCTCCTTAAGGAGACGATCCTCCAAGCCCAGAGGAAGGTAATCCCCAGGAGGGTCAAAGGGGGCAGGAGAGCATATAAGCCTCCATGGCTCACTAAAAACATCCGGGAATGTCTCCTTGCCAAAAAGGAGGCTTACTCCCAATGGAAAGGAGGGGTCATCACTAAGGAGGACTATTCAGCAGTTGCTCGGGGATGTAGGGGGATGGTTAGGAAGGCCAAGGCAGAGATGGAACAGGGGCTGGCTTCCCGGATTAAGGACAACAAGAAGTCCTTTTTTAAGTACATAGGGAGTAGAAAGAAGGCCCCAGGAAATGTGGGGCCCTTGCAGGACAAGACGGGGAATCTGGTTGTCACGCCAGACGACAAAGCCAACATATTTAATAACTTCTTTGCCTCTGTCTTCCTCAGTAAGGACCAGAACTGCCACCTCCCTGCTGGGCCCCCTTTGGGCCCCGGGGGAGGCTCACCTGGGCCTAGAGTGAGTGAGGATTTAGTTAGGGAGCTTCTGGAGGGGCTGGACATTTTTAAGTCAGCCGGCCCGGATGATCTTCACCCT